CACACACACACACACTCTCACACACACACACACACACACACACACACACACAGACAGACGGACACACACACACACACACACACACTGATGTAGACTCGAGCGTCTGATCTGAGATCTGATCACTCACTTCGCTTGTGCTTCTGCTTGCATAAATATAAACTCCCATTTCCGTGCAAAAGCTCTCTGTAGTCTCGCCAAACTCTCCTGTAGAAAACACACACACAGAGTCAGCAAATACAATCCTTACATCTGACTTCATCAAACACACTTCAGTTGATAAATCCTGTACAGAATGAGATGTTCTGGAGAATGAGATCTTCATTAATCCACATCAAACAGAAAAGAGAGACGCTCACAGCTTCATAATCAGCCAACTCCAGCCGAGCTTTATTCTGCATGGTTCGTTTACAGAGGTAAACCGCTGCAGACAGACAGAGAGAGAGAGAGAGAGACAGTTTCAGAATTCAGTATCAGCAGTCATTGTCTGCATACGTCTGCAGTGTAAACCTGAAGATGCTTTTGATCTGATATTTCAACAGCTTCATATGAGATTCAGATTCGAATGAGCTTTACAGTATTCACAGACACACACATTCAGACACATAACCATGCAGTGGTTCTCGTACAGGGGCCCGGGGCCCACTAGAGGGCAGCAGCACACTTCCAAACCAAGATGCCTTCAATGATGAAAACAAGACAAAACAAGCATTAAAATAAGCAAAAACAACTAAAATAACATGTAAACTAATCTTGTATTTCTTATTTTAATGCTTTCACTTAACAGTGATTTTTATTTATGAATCAGGATTCTCAGTCGTGGAAAATATGGATATATGAGGGAATTGTAAAAGTTTAATCTCTAGACCTGGAAAAATTATGCAAATTAATAATTGCTAAAAAAAAAAATGTGCTAAAAAAAATTTGCTATTTGTGAGTAAAAAATGTAATATTTAAAAATGTAATTAAAAACATTTTGATTTCTAGATCTGAAAAAAGTTATGCAAATTAATACAATCTTAAAGAGTCATGGAAATTTTTTAAATGAATATGAAGTTATGTCATGCTCTAAAATATTTTATTGGGTAAAAATTGCTGAGAAATTGCTGTTTGTGAGTAAAAAATACTTTAAAATGCAATTCTGAAATTGTGATTTCCAGATCTGAAAAAGTTAGAAAAATTTATAAATTTTTAAAAACACATTTTAACCCCCCCC